CCCCAAAACCCCAAAACCCCAAAACCCCAAAACCCCAAAACCCCAAAACCCCAAAACCCCGGGTTTAACCAGGAAGTTGAAACATTAACATTATTTGGTAGATTGGGATGTGATTAGAATAAACTATTACATCTTTTGAAGCACATACTTGATGATGTCTCCAGTAGAGAATCCAAGTTTGTCGAAGTTGATTGGGGTGCTTGAGAGGGCCTTACGGAGGGTGTTCAAATCCTTGGTCATGGCAATTGGGTGGCTCTTGTAAGCACTTGGTCCAGCGATGAGAATGTTCAATGGGTGTTCACGGAATGGAGCAAGCTTAGTGAATCCTTGTTGCATTACAGTCCAGGCACCTTCACATTCATGAGCTCCGTCATACAAGTCCTTGGCTCCCAAGTAGGCTTTATAGAATCCCATAACGATAGAGTCGATTGATTTGTGGTCAATAACAGCTTGGATTCCTTCAGCAATCTCATCAGCGCTCTTTTCGAGTGATCCCTCGCAAGTGGTCATGTTCAAATCGAGTTTGAAAGCGGCCTTATAGAAAGAGGTCAAGAGAGTTGTAGTGTCTTGAATTGGATTAGATACCTTGCTGTTCAAGAACAAGATTTTGATGATATCTCCAATCTCATATCCAGCATCTTCATAGTCGTGAGTCTTGAGGTCATCAGTAGTCTTTCTGATGTCTTTGTAGATAGATCTGGAGTGCCAGATGAGTTTCTTTCCAACATCAACAACGAGGGCTGTTGGGTTAGTGAACTCAACAATGAGTTTCTCTAAGGTCTTGACGGCGGCAGCAGCGCTCTTGCATTCCTGTACTTCATGTGGGAGAGCCTGAATGACGTCTCCAATGAGAGCGAGTCCTTCCTTAAAAGCAGCTTTGTTTCCATGGACAAGTGCTTTTTCAAAATCTTCAGCGACATGGAAAAGATTTACCAAGGCCTGCTCTCCATCTTGGATACATCCAACGATGTCTTCTCCAACGGCTCCGAGGGATCCTCTGACGAGACCTCTCATGAAGTCTTCAGCATTGGTGACTCTGTCAGCACTAGAGAAGGCTACGAGAGTAAGTAGTAGGGCAACAATATAAAGTTTCATTTTATATAATAATACCTAGTATTCTTATTTTATAAAGGGGTTTTGGGGTTTTGGGGTTTTGGGGTTTTGGGGTTTTGGGGTTTTGGGG